TACTGATGTCTCTATATGACCTACATAAACAAACAAACAAACAAACAAACAAAAGACCATCAGAGAAAAGATTTGCTATTGGCACTGTCAGTGCGTCGGAGTCAGTCAGGTTGCCTTTGAAATCAATGGAACAGTCGTCCACAGGGGCCACCCAGTCAACACAGTTCTTTTGTTTCTGCATTAAGTTGAATTCAGGCTCATACTCAATTGTGGTCTTTCATCATCTTCGTCCTCAGGTGGTGTCTGATGCTGCTGGCCAAGGGGTCACTATAACTGGCACCAAGACCTTCAACAACTGGAACTGGCCAAACGCTGTTATCTTTGCTGCCACTGTTATCACTACTATCGGTAAGTGCTTTGGGAAGATCTGATTCTAATGGGGAAACGGGTCATTTTTTTTTTTTTGTTTTGTCAACGTTTAATTGGGTAAAACTGTAAAATGTTTTTGTAATTTCCTTCTCCTCCTGTAAAGCCGTACTGAAGAGATAATTAAAACAACCTAACTCTAACCACTTTGTTTTCATTTTCATTTTTTAAAGGATATGGGAACATTGCTCCTAAAACGTCAGCAGGCCGTGTATTTTGCATCTTCTACGGGCTGTTTGGTGTGCCTTTATGTCTTACCTGGATCAGTGAGCTAGGAAAGTTCTTTGGCGGCAGAGCCAAGCACCTGGGCCAGTATCTGACCAAGAAAGGATTTTCCCTGGTAAGTTGATATGAGCTGTTTTTCCCACTTCTGGGAAGAGTACTTGCATCTCTCTGTGGTGCTAAAACAAAACCTTCACCTGAAGCAATAATGTTGTTTTTTTTTCTTTTCCAGAGAAAGGCTCAGTTTACCTGTACAGCTATCTTCCTCCTCTGGGGTGTGCTGGTCCATTTAGTCCTTCCACCTTTTGTGTTTATGTCCCAAGAGGGTTGGACATATATCGAAGGATTGTACTTCTCATTTGTCACCTTGACCACAATTGGTTTTGGGGACTTGGTAGCAGGTAAGCTGAAAAAAAATACCTTTTTTTTGTTTTTGTTTTATTAACTTAAGCAAGAATACCTGTAGTTGCAAGCATAAATAAGGCATCCCTTCATTGCCTTAAACATATCACATTTCCAAGATAGTTTTTAAATCAATTGTTTAATTATACTGTTGTACACTAGGGCTGGGTTTCAAAATTTGTTTTTCCGATTCAAATCGATCTTCGTTTTAAGATCCAGTTTTTATTCATAAAATCCTGATATCAGTCATTCAATCTATGCCTTTTTCCATGGATGTGTGAAGCTTTTACAGCATTAGTTCTCTGAGAATCTCTTTCATATCAAAGCAAAATCAATATTGTAAATCAATGGGCGATACCCAGCCCTATTGTACACAGATACCAGGAATGTAATAGTCCATCTCCTTAAATTAAACCAGGACAGAATGTTGGATTTCACAGACCTTTGACTACTGTTTGTCCTTGCAGGTGTGGAACCAAATAAAGAATACCCAACTCTGTACCGTTACTTTGTGGAGGTGTGGATTTATCTGGGGTTGGCCTGGCTTTCTTTGTTCTTCAACTGGAAAGTGCGGATGGTGATCGAGGCTCACAAGGCGCTGAAGAAGCGCCGGAAGCTGCGCAAGCTATCTCTGGATGAGCTTAGGCACTACAAGGAGTCCCACAAGGCTGCCCTCCGTTTGCCGCCCACTCCTAATGACGTCAACATCTTCAGCTTCCTGTCCAAGAAGCAGGAAGGCTACAATGACTTGATTAAGCAGATCGGCACCAAGAAAGATGGCAGAGGCAACAGCAGCAGTGCCAACGCCATTAATAAAGCCAAAGAGATCAATCGTTCCCAGAGTTGCAATGATGCTCCCATGTTTAATGGTCACACCATCCTCAGTCTGGACCGCTCGCCACGCCAAAAGAGACGCTATAGTTTCAGTGACCGCGTCACTGTTGCTTTCTCAAAGTCCAAGAACTACCTCCTGGGCTCAGATAATGGTATGCTGCTAACAGAGGACCAAGTAGAGGGCGACCTAGAACTTGACCAGGACCAAATGTTTGAGAACCAGCTTGACAAGGACGTCGAGCTCGAGAACGGAGGAGTGGGAGATTGTGGAGCAGGTGGTCGAAGGACATGGGACTCTAAAGAGTACCATTCCCTAACATTCCAAAATGCAAACATTACTTTTATAGACGAGGAGAACTTCCTCAGCAATAACTTAGAGGAGGAAGATGACGATGATGATGATTCTAAAGCAAAACTATCCATTACTACATGTGATGAAAACATTGAGACAAACTCAAAGGAGGAGCAAAGTTCTGAATCTGAAGGGTCTGTGTTCACTAGTGACTGTTCAGAGCACAGCCACTCCTACGAGAAACTTGTAGAGGAATACGCAAAGGAAGAAAATACAGAATCTTGATCTTCTGTTGTTGCCTTTTTGGGATTAAAGTATTCTAATATGAATTGTTAGAATAATATTGGAAGTCCCTTTGCACTTCTGGGGCCTGATAATGATATACTGCAAAGCAAAGATCAAATTTCCAAAAGAATGTTTTGTTCTTAGCTGAGAAATGAAAATCCACATGGTTTTGACTATTTTTACGAGTTGAGATTCTTTTAAACTCTTGAACAAATCTGTCCTATGTCTCGATGATTATGGACTACAGAGCATGACACGTAACCCCACGAGTATTTAACATCTGCTCTATTTATGTCTTTTTATAAGGTTTGTCAAACTATATGCCACATTTATTGTAATGTCCAAACCACAAGTCCTTACTTTTCTACCCAAAAGAAACTAGAAGTGGAGATGTATTTGATTTCCCATAGTTTCTTCTTTGCATATTCACCATATTGGTGTTTTTTTTTAATATTTATTAAAATGAAGGACATGGTAGCTTTTATTCACTGGCTACACAGGTTTTCCCATTGCACAGTTCCACCAAATGAGGACGGTTCAAAGTCCACTTAAGTGCAGATTTTCTTTTTAAAAGCTGAGCCAAACATTTGTCCTTAAAGGAAATATGAAGGAGGTTAAGGGCCAATTCTCCCTCTGTTTTTCTTTGATATTTCATCAGTTTCTTTTTGTAAAGTCCTTGATAACTTGCTGTGTCTGGGATTGCTGTTTATTTTGACTGTAAGCGATAGAAATGTGACTGCACTAGAACGTCACTGGTGATGCATAGGCAACATCTGGGTGTCTAGAACCAACTGAGAGTGAACCTGGAAAGAAAAATAATTTATGGCAAAATCTGAATATCCAGAAAGAGACTCCAAACTAAGATTTCTGTTCCAAGCTTTTTTGACTGCTGTTGACAGTGTTTTGGAAATGATCCTCCCATTGTGACATACAGTAGACATCTGTCAGAATGCATTCGAGCTGGTTTATTGAACACACACTTGTGTTTTGCTGCTGACTGCATGTCAACCTCTGGCTCCTTGGCCCTCAACCATGGCAGTGCATAATGGGAACAACTTTCACAGCAACAGTATTCACTTTTTGTCTCCTTAGCACCCTTTCACTTCTTTGTATTTGCCATGTAAATATTGGCTGAAAGCCCATCAGTAGTCACAAACACACGGCTCTGCTCAGGACATGGCCTTGCTACTCGTGTTTGCGTTTGGGGGCTCGCGCTGGCATGAATGACTGAAGTACCGCTTATGACAGGCAGCGAAGGTTAACTTGTAACAGATCAATGCTCTCTTGACGTATGTTTCAGTCGTGGGACATAAAGTCACCAGTATAGGTGCTCTCAATTACTGTATAGTATTTCCTTCTCGGTTCATGTGAACACAAATCCTTAAACTTGAGGGACCAAAATATAAATGTCCTTTTGCTTTTCAGTCTCACTTTTGAAAGGGCCCTCGGTTGCCCTGCTCACCCGCTGCCTTTTGCACACGTTACCTTGCACACAAAAACTTGAAACGGTGTTACTTTGACTAGTAAGATGGCAGCGTTTGCAGTGTCACACGGGGCTACTCTGAATTTCGAACCAGTCTCCTCCTTCAAGCCAGTTGGATAATATACTGTAAATAAGGTCCAATATTAGTAGTTTTTTGTATTTTTGTGAACATATGGACCACACCATCTTAATTCCTAACACTGCCTTCAAGATGACTGCTATTAAGTGAAAATGCCTTTAATCCACTGCAGAACAGAGGATATACAGTACAATGGAACATCTGTTGAATGTACTTGTTTCACTGAAAAGGTGAAATCTTTCACACTGGGTGTTTTTTATTTTCCCCCCCCCTCTCCCGCTGCCTTGTATTTTGTCACAGGGCCACTACTTTGGTCTATGTAACATTCTGCTCTCGCTCTCATTTTTACCGGTTTTCCTTGATGTGTTAGTGCAGCATTGTTATGCAGCCATGGTACTCCTCTGGACTGAATTTTAAGCATGTCTCTAGATTATTAACTAAGAACAGGTTAGCCTGGTTTAACCCATTGTCCCAAGGTTTCCTCTTAATGTAGCTCCATTGTGTAAAAACTCCAGTATAGTTGTTTTTAGTTGTCTTTTTTATGATTAAATTATTCATGTTTGTAAAAGTTTGTATATGAATTCCAAACAAAACTGTATATTTCATGTAAATAAACATTTAATAAAACAAGTGTTTTGTGATCATTATGTAATGAAAGTCATTATCCAGTGGTTTAACACAAACTTCCATTCAGGCCTTCAAATTCTGACAGCTGCAGACTTGCTCACATGCATCTATACATGCAAACATGTTCCACACGTATACTAGAAAACTAGAAATTTACAAGAATACATAGTTATATGGCTAAACAACATGAAAAATAAAAATAAAAAACTAACCATTTAATGACTGAAGAATACCATACATACATGTGTCCAGTGTGCTTTTCAAGTGTATGTGCAATCAGTGCACAGACAGTCCACATACTCACAAATTTTAGGCTGCATGCAGAGGTCCACAAACTCTTGAGCAGATGGTGAAATGTATGTCAACTGACCCATGTGTACACAGAAACCATGAACTGAACTGTAGCTACTGCTGAACAGTTGTATAATGTCTTCTGAGGCTCTGAAAACGAACCCTGATGTCATCATCGCAGCTTGGACTTATAATTGGCTCTAGGGATGGCAGTGTTGGTCGGTCAGTTTTGGTCCAGACACAGATATTTGGTGGATTGTCATGAAATTTTGTCCCAACAATCAGGGTCCCCACAGGATGAATGGGGATATCTCCATTACTTACATCATTCTTAACAAAAAGATCCAGTGCAGACTGGCAGTTTAAGATCCCTGGTCTGATAAAAGACACTACTGAGCTGTGTTACAGAACAAGCTTTTAGAGTTTGACCTATAGTAGGAACTAAAAGTTAGAATATTTTGGCACCTGCTTCGTCTATTTTGGCCATTCTTTTTTAAGAATTTCTCTTGTGGGTCCACTAATTTTTACGGAAGTGCTTGAATTGCCCAGGAGTGCAGTTGACTCTCTTGTGCATGTCCATAAAAACATAGGTAACAAACCATAGAATGGCCATTTACATGTAAGTGCAAAAAGTAAAAACAGCAATACATGAGGCGGAATTTCAGTCCTTCAGCCCTTGAAATAGGTGTTTTTCTAATTTAGGCTAGTTAGACATTTTGTTTATGTAAAATGTGGGCTTATTTTGTTAAGAGTATACATGTACTCTTGGATCTTGTTGTACAGTCAAACCTGTATTATTGAATTTTACTAATGACACCTGCACTTTCCTGTGGATATTCTTATTAAATTATAGTGTTCATTCAGTGTCAACAAGTTCATATGTAAATTTCCATGGTGTACTTCCTGACAGTGATACCTGGTATTGCTCATTATGTACACAAACTTGAAGGTCACACTGTCAGACAAGAACCACACTGCAAAAGGAGCAGATAGCTGATATGCAAACCTAGTCAATAACAACGATGAATAATGAATTATGAATACAGTGATATTCTACATTATCTGTATTATCTGTGCTTGTTACAGTTGCAGTTCATGTTAAATGTTTATCAGTTAATGATTGGAATGCGGGTGAAATTTTAAGTGTGGAGCCAACGGAGCCGGGCTGTTGACATATGGTGATCTGCCAAAACGACATGAGATTAGCGTGTGCATAACAGTCAGGGTGTAAATAAACACCACTGCCCCTCGTTCTGATGGCATGTGATTCAAGAATCTGCAATGGAAACATGTCATTGCATTTCCGCTATCAATGTTTCACTAGAAGGGGTGGCGTTAGTCAAGCTTTGCCCTTATAAATGTTAACTCGGCTGATGATGGTCACTGAACCAAACTAAAGAGAGGGCTCACTGTGAAAATGTGCTGAGCTTGGTGGAAACCAGAATGTCTCCTGTTACTGTGGCATTCCAGGCACAACATAAATCAAATTTCCTTTTATGTCTTCAAGTTCCTCAGTCCAGTGTGATCCAATATGTACAGATATGCATAGTCAAGCCATTCTTGTGTCATTATCCTAAAGTTAACTAAGTTTTTTTATTTTTTTTATTTATTTTTTTTATTAAGCATTTTTGGGGCATTTTCATGCTTTTATTACAGCCAGACAGTGGATGGACAGACGGATACAAGGTAGAGAGATGCAACAAAGATCTTGGCTGGATGCAAACCGGTTTCCTTACCATTTATGGTTCTTAACCTCTAAGCTAATTCTAAAATATTCAAATATATCTATATTAAAGGTATATTAAGGTCATCACTGAAATCCCCTTAAAACTTGGTTTCACGTCTCAAGATGTCATGATGATATTAAACCAGTTATAATGTATATTTTTATTTGACCTTGTCAGACAAATTTAGTTGGTGGACATGGTTGAGCATTTAGCAGCTAAGGGCCAGATATTTCTTTCATGAGATGGTTGAGAAAGTGAAAACTGGACTTATATTCATCAGGTGGACACAAACACGACTCCTAATGAATTGAGCATTTAGCAGCTAAGGCCAGATATTTCTTTCATGAGATGGTTGAGAAAGTGAAAACTGGACTTATTTCATCAGGTGGACACAAACACGACTCCTAATGAATAATCATTTTACTTGTTATT